CCCCCCACCCCCCGACTCTGTGTATACCACTCTAAGTGCCTAGTTTCTCCTCTGCTGTTTCCGTCTTGACACCCTAGACCTGTTCCTCTTTGAGCACTCTGTGATTGAGAAATGGTAGGGAGCCCATCCCATGCTGGGATTGAGTGTCCTAAAGTCAGAAACAGTCCACACAACAAAGACCAACTTCTGAGCTTCTTCGTGTGATGTGGTTCGTTCCTGCTCAAACACTCACCCTTTCAAAACTCCTGGTTTTGTGGCTGGTTGCCTGCTTTTTGGCACGGACCTTGCTGTGACTTTTTTCTAAGCTGGCACTCACTCCTGGGAAACAAAATTTAAACAGCGCTCCCCGCCCCCTACCCCCCCCACCCCCGTGTGTGTGTGTGTGTGTGTGTGTGTGTGTGTGTGTGTAAGCCTCTTTAAAGTATGGGGCCAGGGACCTTGGTGTGCTCACCCTAGCGGAGGCATGGAGGCTTTCTGTCACCTGGAAGTAAACTTTGTCCCTCTCAGGGACCCTCCTCTGGCCTGTCACTGAAGTGGCCTTGTTGTCCCTCACAGTATAACAGTGTCTTCAGTGTAACATGCTCACAGAACATTGCAGACATCACCAGGGAACTTAACAACCCTGGTTACCATCACCACACCCACAGGCAAGGAGACAGGGAAACTTCCAGGAAGGGCTTTTGTTTTTTGGGATTTTTTTTGATGTTTTTTGTTTTGTTTTGTTTTGTTTTGTTGTTCTTTTTGTTTTTGGTGTTGTTGTTGAACTATGTAGCATTTTGGATTATTTTAGTTTCATTCTGTTGTTGTGACACAAACAGTCTGATCAAAACAATACAGGGAAGAAAAGGATTTATTTGGCTCACATATTCATGTCATAGTCGACCACTGCGGTAAGCCAGGGTAGGGACTGTGAAGGAACGCTGCTTCCTGGCTCCCTCTGTGGCTTGTCCTCTGGCTTATGCTTAGCTGGCTTTCTTAGACATCCCAGAAGCCCCTGCCTAGGAAATAGTGCCTTCCACAGTGGACTGTGCGCTCGCACATCAATCATCAATCAAGACATTCCTTCACAATCACAGTCACACTTGTGAGCCTTGTACCTGAGGAGGATAGAAGAGGGTGTTGAATCCTCTGGAACTAGAGTTACATATGGCTATGAGCTGCCATGTGGCTTCTGGGAATTGAACCTGGGTCCTCTGGAAGAGCAGCCAGTGCTCTAACCACTGAGTCATCTCCCCAGCTCCAGTGATTATATAGTGTTATATGCTGCTCATTTTCAACATTTTGAGGCTTTGCATTGATTCTTTACTGTGTTTGTCTTACTTTGGAGATTCTCAGGACATTAATGATGACATCTCCGTAATGATAGCTGAGAAAAGAAAAGCTATCCCCAGGACGGTCACATGTTTTGGGAAAACTGTAGTCATATCAGCTAAAAACCTGGAGTTGAGTGTAATGGAATCCTGTGTGCTTCTGCCTGCTCTTAAGGACTTGATGGGATCCAAAGCAATGTTAAGATAAACAACATGAAATTATGAAATCTGCAGAAGTAGCCAAGTGAATAAAACTGTAAAATGTCCAAAGGGTTGAAATAAGTAGTCACATAGACTAGGTAAGGCTGTATGCAAGGGAAACAGAGCTTAGCATGCTATTTAACTCTGAGGTACAGCAATAGCTTTTCTCCTGAGTGCCAGCACATGGGCTCTGTGTATAGAAAACTCTCTGTCCTAAGAAATCCATTCAAAGATATTAATGGGAGGCAGCTTTTTATCACTCCATCTGCCTCAGATGTTGAACCTCATAACATTTTGGGACTTAGAACACATTCTATGAACTCTTGAGAAAATGCCCTTCCCAGACCTCTAAACTTAAAAATACCACAGTAACATTTTATGGGTGTGGACCTGATACACAGACATCAGGTGACTCATCATCACAAGAGTCAGAGTTGGGACTCAGCCCATTCTGCGTTCTCCAGTCCAGTGACTCCTTCCTGTGGACAGCCTCTGCCAAGAAATGAGTCCATCAGCAGTCCAAGGGCAGGAACATCGTTTTACTAATTTGCTTTTCTTTTCCCTTGCTTTTCTCTACAGAGACCGAGGTAGACCACACTCAGCCTACCAAACAGAAATGGTGTTTACGTTTGTACAGGTTATACATGTGTATGCACATACATGTTAAATTCCTAAGCTGCTTAAATTTACTCCCACTCAATCTCCATTTCTCAAGAAATTTCGCCTTCTTTTTAAAACAGTAATTTAGGGAACCAGTGAGATGGATGAGAGGCTCGGAACACATGATGCTAATAAGTCCAAGAAGCAGAGTTGGAACCCAAGGACCCATGTGGTAAAGGGAGAGAAGGGACTTCTGCAGGTTGTCCTCTGACCTCCACACACATGCACACATACTTGTGTGCACACACATGAATAAATAAATCAAAAGGCAATAAAAATGTTTAATTCATTTTTCTTTGGTTTTCCAGCCCAGGTTGGCCTGGGACTTGCTATAGAGCCGGGTCTGGCCTTGAGCTCACTCGGTCCTCTTGTTTCAGTTTCTCGTGTGCAGATTGTCAGGTGTGAGTCACCATGCTTGCCTAACACACACACATACACACACACACACACACACACACACACACGCTGTTGTTTTAGTTTTTGCTTGTTTGTTCATTTTGTTTTTTGGGTTTGGGAGTTTCGGGTCTGGTTCGCTTTGGTTTTGGTCTTGGTTTTTCAAGACAGAGTTTGTCTGTGTAGCCACCCTAGCTGTCCTAGAACTCATTTTGTAGTCTGGGCTGGCCTTGAACTCACAGAGATCCACTTGCCTCTGCCTCCTGAGTGCTAGGATTAAAGGCCCTTACACCTGGTTATCAAAAAAAAATTTTTTTTTTCCATTTTTTCGAGACAGGGTTTCTCTGTGGTGTTTTGGTGCTTGTCCTGGATCTCGCTTTGTAGACCAGGCTGGCCTCGAACTCACAGAGATCCACCTGGCTCTGCTTCCTGAGTACTGGAATTAAAGGCATGCGCCACAACCGCCCAGCCCAAAAATATTTTTTAAAGAATAGTTTAATTCAAAAATTTAAGCTAGCCAGGTGGTGATGGCACACACCTTTAATCCCAGCACTCAGGAGGCAGAAGCAGGTGAATTTCTGTGAGTTTGAGGCCAGTCTGTTCTACAGAGAGAGATCCAGGACAGCCAGGGCTGTTGCACAGAGAAACCCTGTCTGGAAAAACACAAAACAAACAAACAAATAAACAAAAAACAAAAAGCTAATTAGATAAAATATTTTCAAGATTTCATTTTATTTTTAATTATGTGTGTGTGTATGTGTGTGTGTGCGCGCGCGCGTGCGTGCGTGTGTGCGTGCATGTGTGAGCACGAACGCACAAGCGCAGGGTGCCAGCTCTCCCTGGAGCTAGAGTTACAGGTGACTGTGAACCACTTGGCATGGGTGCTGAGAATCCAACTTGGGTTCTTGTAGTTGGTTGTATCTTTTTTACTCTTTGCTCTTTTAGGGGACCCACCACCCAGCTCCCAAATAATCACAGAGACTTACTCTTTCATATGAATGCCTGGCCTTAGCTTGGCTTATTTCTAGCCAGCTTTTCTTAACTTATATTACCCCATCTACCTTTTACCTCTGGGCTTTTACTTTTCTCTATTTCTGTATATCTTTTCTTTCCTTCTTATTCCGTGTCTGGCTGTGTGGCTGGGTAGCTGGCCCCCAGTATTCTCTCCATCTCCTTTTCTCGATCCCTAATCTTTCTTCCCAGATTTCTCCTTCTGTTTATTCTCTCTGCCTGCCAGCCCTGCCTATTCCTTCTCCTGCCTTGCTATTGACCATTCAGCTCTTTATCAGACAATCAGGTGTTTTAGGCAGGCAAAGTAGCACAGCTTCACAGAGTTAAACAAATGCAACATAAAAGAATGTAACACACCTTTTCATCATTAAACAACTATTCCACAGCATAAATGAATGTAACACATCTTCAACTAATATTCCACAACAGGTTCTCTGCAAGAGCAGCACATACTCTTAATCTCTCCAGCCATAATAAAATAAAATTTTAAAACTCCATTGGTTGTATTGACTCTCAACAGCAATCTCAGTAAACAGGAGGCTGATACAGGAGGACTGCTCTGAGTTCTAGGCCAGCCAGAGCTACATAGCAATGAATGAATAAATGAATGAATAAACAAACAAACAAACAAACTTAAAGGACAGTTCAGAACAAACCTGCCTCAGGGGTGGCTGCCATTCTTTGAAGTTTCCAAATTATATGTCAGAGAAATTTATAAATGTCCCATCTGTGAAATTACCATAAATTCATCAAGATGCTTATTCAAATTTTACCTAATAAAACACGCTCATGCTTCTGTGACTGGAGTTTTACTTTCTGATTTATAATGATTGTGGTGAATGGCATGGCACAGCTTCTTGAATAGATCTTGCTAGTGTTTGGTTTCCTTCATAGCTATTCAACATGCTTGTCAAATTACCATATGACCTGGCAGAAAATTCTAAATAAAGTTGGCATTTCATTTATATGATGCTGGGTGTCTGTTTTTCAACTCCAGATTCAGAGCATTAAGCAATCAAATGCAGAATTATAAAGCCTTATTTATTAGCCACATAGCAAAGATTTACTGCCTCCTCTTAGCTGCATAGTCATTCATCCAAACCAGAGGCAAATTTGGCTTAGTCATCTGAAAGGTTAAAGGACAGAAGTTTCTTTTGCCAGGAGTGAACAGTAAAATAAATCAGAAAATACTAACCTGGCACCAGGAAACTGTGTTCAGGAGGGTCTGCCTTGGAGCAAGGCACAGAGCATCAGTTTATGGGGAGAGAAGCAACCACTCTCCCATGATTCCTACCTGGAGTCAAGTGCATTAAAAAGATCAAGTCGAAGTGGGAGCCAGGCAGCCTATTGAACGTACAATAACACTATGTGTCTCATTTTGAAAATATTCGATTTACTATTGGTGTGATGTGATGTGTGTCTGTAAGTATAGGTGTGCATAAACCGTGGTGCATGTGTGCAGGTCAGAGGACAACTTTCAGGTTCCAGCACTGGGGCCCAGGGATTGCAATTCAGGCCAACTATTCAGCTTGGTGGTAAGTGCCTTTACTCTCTGAGCCATCTACCCATGGCATATCTCTTCCTTTACTTTTTAAAAGTATTTTATTTATTTTTATTTTATGTGTAGGGGCATTTTGCCCTCATGTATGTATGCACACCACATATACAATTGGTGCCCATGGAGACCAGAAGAAGAAGCCAGATCCCCTGGAACTGGAGTTACAGATGGTTGTCAGCCTCCATGTGGATGCTGGGAACTGAACCTAGGTCCTCTGCAAGAGCCACAAGAGCTCCTAACTGCCGTATCGTCTCTCTAGCCCCAGCCCTACATATCTCATGGTTAAAGAAGTCGGGGGATGGGGATGGTACAGAAGAGCTAAGGCAGCCTTCTGCCAATTAACTTAAGGGGAGATTCTTGAAAGGCAACTAGAAAATCAGATGAATCTATTCTGGGTAGCAAATTGGCATTCTAGATTATTCTTTAGGTATCCTGCCATTAGTTCACTTATGAAAAATATGGAATCAGTGCACTTGTTAAACATTATATCAACCATAGAGCAGGGTTTCCAGTCTAATAGCCCAAGATTGTTTCAAGTCTCCCTCAACTGTGTCTGTACAAAGTCACAGCAGCCCACTAAACTAATATATATCTACCCTGTTCTGCTCCTCTGTAAATGCTGGTCTCCCCATCTGCTAGCCATTAGAAGAAGTTGCTGGATAATAATGATGAAAGACTTGTATAATCAGAAGCCTTAATGTACTTATTAGTTGTGGGATATTATTCAAAGAAAGAGAAACTATTTTGGGATCTGTTTTAGTTAGGGTTTCTATTGCTGTGAAGAGACGCCATGACCACAGCAACTCTTATAAGGAAAAGCATGTAATTGGGGGGAGGGGGCTCATTTACAGTTCAGAGGTTCTGTCCATTAGCATCATAGTGGAACATGGCGGCATAAAGGCAAACATGGTGTTGAAGACGCAGGCAACAGGAAGTGGTCTGAGACACTGGGCGTGGCTTGAGCATGTATGAGATCTCAAAGCCCGCCCCCACAGTGACACACTTCCTCCAACAAGGCCACACCTACTCCACTAAAGCCACACCTCCCAATAGTGCCACTCCCTTTGGGGGCCATATTCTTTCAAAGCACCACAGGGTCCATCTAAAGATGGGACTCAGAAGAAAGTTTCCATTCAGTGGAACAGTGAAGCATTCAGAGAGGAAAGCCCTGTGCATGTCAGTCTAGACCAGTGTCCCAACCTTCCTGATGCTGCCAACCTTCAATACAGTTCCTCACGTTGTGGTGAGCACCTACCATAAAATTATTTTTATTGTTACTTTGTATCTGTGATTTTGCTACTGTTATGAACCATAATGTAAATATTGAATACACAACAAAAGGGGTCATGACCCACAGGTTGAGAACCACTGATCTACAGAGCATGAGAAAGAGCAAAATAAATGGAAAGTAGTTGTGCCCTAAATAACGATAATCTCTCCTTGTGCTGGTCACACTAGTATATATTTTCATAAGATGCTTTCAACTAACAGCCTGGGCCCTGAAAAGAAAGCTCTGAATAAAAATCCAAATAATTTAATTAAAATGCTTTAATTATTTGAAAAACCAACTCAATTCCCTACATAATTTTACTATTTAGCTACACCCAAATGTAATAATAACAGGACTTGCTGAATTATCTCAGATAAGACACAATTGTCATGGTAAGAGGAAAATCAGTATTAGAATCACAGAGAACTCTACAAGACAGGTTGTGGTGGACAGAACTGGACTCTGGAGTCAGATAGACCCTGCTTGGGAAACTGGGCCTTCTCCTTGCAGACTCTGTGACTTCAGCCAATTATTTAACCCTTGAGTTTCAGTTTCTTTGTCTATAAGCAAAGTAATAAATAAATAATAAATAAATCTCTCTAAACACCCTCCACAGACCCTTAATATGGTGTTCTTCTAATGCCTTTGAATAAAACTTAAGTCCAATATACTACTACTTTAAGAAAAAAATCCTGATGAGATTTTGAGCATTTTCCTTGTGGAATCATGCTATACATCTTTGTATTCACAGAGGACCTAGTAGAGTTCTTTGATGAAGGGGGATGCTCAAAACAGACATTTCCAATGAATGAATTTTTCTCAATATTTTTCTCCCTTTTCTTTCTTTTTTGGTATTATTTGACAAAATTAGATACTACTTTCTGTTTCATGTCACGGTTTGAAACCACAGTTAAGTTTGTGAGTGGAATCTAATGATTATGCTTTTGTACGTACACAGTGATTGCCTGAGATGTTCATGTTCCTGGAACACGACTATGACCACTCCTCTACTGACTACATCAGCCTTTGTCCAGAGCAAAGCTGAACTGTTGCAAGAGTGACCGAGTGCACTGTAAAACCGAGAATGCTGTTCGTCTGGTTGCTCAGGGGGAGAGTTTGCCAACCCCTAACACAGCTTCTCCTGCCTAAAAGCAAGGCCACCTCAGCGAGGTGAATACCTTTAGTCCCAGCCCTCAGGAGGGAGAGGCAGATAGATCTCTGTGAGTTAGAGGCCATCCTGATCTACAGAGAGAGTTTCAGGACAGCCAGGGGTACACAGAGAAACGCTATCTTGAAAAACTAAGAAAAAAAAAAAAGCAAGACTACCCCAACCCAAAGGATCGATCATAGCTGTTGCTCTCTGTTCTGACTTCTCATAAACTTCTCATAGACTTGGGCTCGAGATAAATTCATCTTTTCATTTCTCTTTCCTGAACCCTTTATTGAGGATGGAGCTGTCATATTGAAGATGGCAGTATCTATAAAAATTAACATTTTTGTAGAACTGATCTTTGCTTTATATGGGCAAGTTCATACACTTGAAACCTGGTGCCTCTTGACTCTATCCACACTCTCTTAAGCATATCCATCTGGTCACTGACTCTAATAATCTCCCTCCTGATGGCCAACATTAATCCTCCTTCACTATTCACAGCATTCTACTTATATCCATTCTCCTATCAGTGGACCTGGCCTGGCCTTCCTACTCCCTATAAACCATTCACCATAGGCATGGCCTCCTCCAAGGAAGAGTTGTTCTCAACTAGGGTACATCTCTACCCTCAGAATCAGCGCTTTTGGATCACTGAATAATAGCAGCACCATTTTCCTGCTCACTCAAACTAAAGCCTTGGAATCCCCTTTTACTTTGCCATTTTTTTTCCTTCATATCACACACTCTATTTAATCAGCAAGCCCTGTCAGCTCCACTTACAACAACTAAAAGAGGAGCCTGGTGCCGTGGCACACGCCTGTGATCTCAGCACTTACTCCTAAGTACATGCAGGAGGGTCAAGTCTTCAAGGCTAGCCCTGTCTAAATAGGCAGTTCCAGGCTAGCCTGACCTACAGGAGATCCTGTCTGATGATGATGATGATGATGATGATGATGATGACGATGATGATGATGACAGTAGAGTTAGAAAGTCCAGTCATGGATGCTTATGTCCCCACTTCAAGTCAGGAAGCAATCGAAAACAACCCAAAAGATCAATGGAAATAAAACATTACCTTTACCAAATGTTACCTGAAAATGGAGCTGGCATCCATTCCTCATTCTTCTACCTGCGGGTAAGAAGGCAGCGTATTAGTGAACCCACGGCTGTTTCAGGCTTCCATTCAGACCCAGGCCGCATGGGCCATGGTGGAGTGGGCATCCCTGTATAGGCAGAGCTAGACAACAAAGAGCTGCTCCTTTGAGACTTCACAACATTGGAATAGGGCCAAACATGCATTCCCAGCATGCAGTGGGGTGGGTAGATCCGGAGCAGGGGGAGCAGGAACAGCATGACAGACGGCATTCCCCGGTACTGCCTGCTCTGTGTCAGACTGCCACATTCTGAGAAAGGGAGAAGATGAGTAAAAAGGCGACCTGGTTCCCAGCAGGTCACAGGGAAGATCTGTCCTTTCACTCCATTGGTTTAACCATTAACTGGCTGCCCCCTTTGAGGGACATGATTGAAGATCTACTCAGACAATCCTAGTCCCGCCTTCAAACAACTACACCCCCAAAGCCGGGCCTGGCTCTTCTGGGATCCTGCTGGCTGACATTTGGTAGCGAGAAGACACTAAAATGGGTCAGAATAATACATAAATGATTTGAAAAGCTGTATCCCAAGCTGGAAATCCCCTCGATGTCCTGTTTCCCTGGCCCACTGTGCACTCACATTATCCAGTGTAGCTCATCAAACACTGGCACCGAGATGAAAATAACAACATAAAAATAGGCTAATCCTAAAAAAAACGCCAGCAACATACAAAGTCCCAGATTTGAATATTAACTGCCTTCTTAAATGGATTTTCCTGAGAGGAAATTAAAGTTAAAAATTAAATCTGCATGCAAATTAATCCAAACATTCTAGAGGTCAACAGAATCAAAGTCCAAAAATCTCACTCTCCTGTGCTTGGGACTTGAAAATTTAAAGAAACTGAAGTTGATCCAAACTTTAGCCTCAGGTCCTTGCCCTGCCTCGTCTGGCTGCGAGGGTTTGGCTGTAGGTAGAGCTGGGCAGTACACAGCCTTTCTCATCCTCGGTGGCACGACGGAAGTCTTGAAGGATTTTAGGGGATGAATGCCTCTTCACTCTTTCTTCTGTTTGTACTGCTCCGTACACTAGAGATTATCACAGCCTTGAGTCAAACCCAGCGCATCTAGAAAACAAACTAATATTATCTAAAGCAGAATGTTTTCAGCGCCCAGGATTTGTGTTGCCCAAGCCACCGGCAATAATTAAATGGGACTAGATGGGAGGAGGTCAGAGTCAGAGAAGAGCTTTGAGTTAACCTCTCCGTGACGCCAGCCAGTCTGGGATAGTCTCCATAGTCTAGTCTCTGCTTTTACGATCTGAATCCCACGTCCTGACACGTGTCTACGTCTGTTGGTGGGAATGGGGCTGAGCTCTATAAGTAGCCCTCTTTCTACGGTAATAGAATTGAAGTCAATGCCATCATCTCCTTGCAGAGTCAGAAGCTTGAACTGTCGGCAGCATAAACCACAGGGCTTTTGTTTGATTTCTCCTTGCTTTTTCTGTTTATCTGTAACTCTGATTCCCTTTATCCTTCCAGCACCCTGACGCAGAACTGGATTCAAGCCTCATCAGTAACCCATGAGCAAACCTTTTCAGGAGCCTGAGCCAGAAAGGGTGTTTCTGTCAGCAGCCTTGGGGCAGGAGCCAGGAACACAAGCTCCTGCTGCAGCCACCTGCAGCAGCCCGAGCACTTCTGCTCAGGGAACTCTACTCAGGTGAAACCGTCATTCTTACAGCATTGGCAGTAACCTGTAGTTCTTGGCATGGTGTCTAGTCAAGCTTTGGACCAATGACTCAGCAAGATGTAACCCATTCCTGGCACTGGAGGTTCCACTTGATGACATAAGATGTTTGCTTGGGCACTGTGTTCCTTATTGTATGGTGACTTCTCTTAGATGGCTTTCATAGCCGTATATATTTTAGGACACTTTTACAGCAGTAGGCTTCTACCCAGCTTTTCAAAAGCCCTTCAGTATCAATTATCCCTCTCCACATCCCCTCTTTACCCCACCTTCCTATCTCCCTCCCCCTTTAACCCTCCTAGTCTAGTTCCCCTTCTCTCTCTAAAACACTGTATTTCCCCCCCCTTGGAAGAGCCCCTCCGCCCTGCTGGCCTCTTAGCTAATATAACCTCTGCTGTTATTTGGATTGAAGTACACATAATCGAGGCTTAAAAACTAACACCCACGTATCAAAACAGAACATGCCATGTTTGTCTTTCTGGGTCTGGGTTGTTTCACTCGGGCTGATGGTTTCTAACGTCATCCATTTACCTGCAAATTTTGTAATTTCATTTTTCTTAACAGCTGAATAATATTCCATTGTGTAACTGTATCGAATTTTCATTATCCACTCATCAGGTGATAGACATTAAGGCTTGTACATGCCTGGTTCTCAGGGAGGCTAGAAGAGAGCACGAGATCTCCTGGGCCTGGAGTTACAGATGGTTGTGAGCTGCCCAGTGAGTGCTGGGATTTAAACCCAGGTCCTCTGCAAGAGCAGCCAGTGCTCTTAACTACTGAGACAACTGTCCAGCCCCTACTGTTCCCTCTTTTGACAAATGAGATTATACGGTGTGGTTCCAAAGGTTTCTTGGACAGGATTTCAATCTGATAAGGTAGAACCATGGCTCACAGGAGTTTCACAAGGGCTGAGACCTGTGACCTGTCCTTTACAGGAAATGGGGCTATTTGTGAAATTCCTTGAAAATGGCAAGTTTGCAGTTCAGGAATGATAAAGGCATGTGGCCCAGGCCTTAAGCATAGTTCATTGATACTTTTATGTTCTTTAACAAAATTTTATTGCATTTATTTGTGTGAGTGTGTGTGTGTGTGTGTGTGTGTGTGTGTGTGTGTGTGTGTGTACTAGTGCCATGGAGGAAAGAGGAGACAGCTTGCAGCAATTATTCCCTCTTCCAGCCTGAGAGTCTCAGGGATCAAACCTTGGTTCAGGGGGCAGAGCCAGCAACTAGTTGACTGGAATTATCAGAGTCTGGAGGAACCAGGAACATGGATAGAGAGAGGCGCATAGGAAGAAGTAGGGAGACTCTGGGAGTTTCACGCTTATTTGGTTTGGGACAAGTGGAGAGATACGCCTCTTGCTGGGTGTCCTCCGAAAAGGAAGGTCATCTGGTTGCTTCTTGGCCTCTCTGCTCTAGCAGGTTTTCACCCCACATCTGACCACCAAGTCTTTGTTGGTAAACAGAATGATAGAGACTTAAACTACAGATCACAGCCGTGGTCACGGAAGGTCAAGGCCCGAGTGGCCAGCGGGGTGCTGACTGTGGGGTGGGAGTAGGGGGAAGGGGGGTGGTTATGGGCCCACAGACAGTAATTAAAGTATCAGCAGAGTCATGCGCAGCCACTAAATGGACAGAAACACATGCAAACTCAGGTTGCCTCCCGGGCTTGGCAGCATGCATCTTTACCTACTCAATCACTTTGTCAGTTTGTATTTTAACACCCCTCTGCTGGAACTCTGCTCCTTCCAGGGTTGAGGTTCCAGAATTTACCCCACTGTTGAGTGGTTCTGTTCCTTTTCTGACACATGCTGGGCTGGAGCTAAAGTCTCCCTTCCTTGATTTTCTCTACGCCTTGTGGTCCAGAGAATGTTTTTTTCTATGGTATCTCTGTAGCTTTGATACAGTGGACCACCTTAAAGAGAAATATAAAAATCAACCAAGTTTAGGGCTATTTGGTTTAAATAAACCTTTGGGTCTGGTACCCAGGCTGGATAGACTCACAGGAGAGATGTCGCATCAAACCAATAGATGTGACTGATTATTGTTCTTCTGTTCTCCATTTAACTTTTCCTCTCTGCCATGCCTTAGCAAATCAATTTAGTATAAGAGCACTCCCTAAATATCTGCCATATGGGTTGAAGGCACAGGCAAAACTAGATTGCAGGCTGTGTCACCAGGTTCTGGTCCTAACCCACTCAGTAGCTGTTGGGGATGTTTTCCCTGCATCTCCCGGCTCTTTCCATCTTGAGTCTGTCCAGATTCTTTGTAAACACGTGGTAGAACTCTGCCCATCATCAGAAGGTTGTTCAGGCACTGGAACTGTGGCTTCTTCACCTGGGTCATTCACAGGAGCCTGTCATTTCCTGAATCAGGCTTCCTGCGGCCATGAGACAGGTATTCCTGTCAGAGATCATCGTTGCTTTCTTTCGTTTTTTTTTTCTTAGTCCGGTTGCTACTTCTGAACCAATGATAGCTAAAACATCTTCAGCTTATCTCATCCTCCCTTTCCGAGCAAGCAGACCTGGATCCAGCTCCTCCTTCCGCATTTCTCCGTCCTCGCCTCTGAGAGCTCAGCTGACCTTCCTAGAGATCTGATCTCTCCACAGAGCACTCATGCTCCTTCCCTCCGGCTAACCGCCTTATCTTTTTGTATTCTGTTTTTCTTCTTATACTTCCTCTGTTCCTCTAGACAAACTGAAATACAACTTTCAAGCCAGCCCAGTTGATCTTGATTTCCTAAGAAAACCTCCTTGGTAGCCTCCTGGATGGGTCCAGAGCTGCTTGAGATGGCATGATTGGGCTGATGGTGGGTCCACAGGCTGGACAGAGCTGCCTGGACAGAGCCATGTCAGAATTTCCTTCTTGGGATCAAAATACTCTAAAGCACAGCAACAGCGTTCCAGACAGCCGGCGTGACACTGCTCACCTATGGTTGCCAACGATAATCTAAACTCAACCTTTTCCTCTACAAGTCTCTGCTAGCTGTTGCTTGGATCACGGCAATAGTTTCTAACTCGTCTCCTGGCCACCATACCTCACCCGACAGTGAATCTTCTACATATCTGCAAGTGATTTTTTTTTTTTAACAAATTTACATCATTTAGGTATGTTGCTTCATGTCTGCCATCCCAGCACTCAGGAGGCCACAGCAGGAGGATGACAGTGGGGTGGCAGTGTTTCCTGTCAGAAGTCAGCCTGTTTTCCTTTGTTTGACAAGTCTGGGGAAGCCCAAACTACATCCTCTGTTTCAAAAAGGAAAACATAACTTACAGAAGCTCAAAGGATACTATGAAGAAATTTAAAAAACAGCTCATACTACAAGAATTATTATTACTATTTTAAGATAGGCATACTGGCACATGCCCCTAATCCCAGCACACTGGAAGCAGAGGCAGGAGGATTTTGAGGGCAGCCTACTCTACATAATGAGTTTAAGGACAACCAGAGCTACATAGCTAGACCCTGTTTTGAAAAAAAAATGAATTTTTTAAATGATACATCTGATAAGGGTCAAGAACCTTAAATATATAAAGAACTTTTGTAACTCAACAGTAAAAGACAATTTTTTTTCCTCCAAATTTTAAGTCAGGCAAGTGACTGTGGAAACTCTCTTCAGAAAAGATGTACAAATGACCCGTGAGCATAGGAAATGATAGCATTGTTAGTCACCGGAGAAATGTGCCTGTTCTGTATGTGGCTGTGATAATCACCATGACCAAAAGCAACTTGGAGAAGGGAAGAGTTTACTCAGCTTGCTGGTCACAGTCAATCATTGAGGAAAATCAAGGCAAGAAGTAAGGATGGGACCTGAAGCAGAGACTGTGCAGGGGGGGGGGCGACATTATTTATTGGTTTGTCTCCATCAGCTTGCTCAGCTACCCTTCTTACACATCCCAGGTCCAGCTGCCTAAGGATGACACTGCCCACAGTGGGCTGGACCCTCCCACATCAATCATTAATCGAGAAAATACCCCCACACACTCACAGACCACTCTAATGGAGGCAATTCCTCAACTGAGATTTCTTTTCCCTAGGTGACTCCAGCTTGAGTCAAATTGATACAAACTGACTTTGACAGTAAGCTAAAATGACAGTGACATGCTTTTTCATACCCAGTGGAATGGCTACCAATCACAAAACCAGAAAATAATAATATGTCAAGGTGTTGGAATCTTCTTTCATTGTATCTGGGAATATAAAATGATGCCCCCATTTTGGAAAAGAGACTGACAGTTGCTTAAAAAGTTAAACTTAAAGATACCACATAACCTATTAATTACCCCTAGTTACAGAGAGAAACAAAGATCCTATCAGAATGTTCATGCTTATATTCACAATAGCCAAGGGGTGAAACAGTCAAAATGCTCGTGAGCTGATCAACGGAGAAATAAAATACAATACACACATACAATGGAATATTACCCTGCCCTGAAAAAAAGAACAAAGTACTACTACATGCTATGACACAGATGAGTCTTAAAAACACTGTGCTCGGGGACATAGAGAT